ATGCATTTCACCACCAGCACTCTCCTCATCTCCCTCCTCTCCGCCTCCACCACAATAGCCATGCCCCGCCCCCAAACAACCATCCCTCCCACCCAAGCCAGTGCAAGCTTCTGGCAAATCGCAAATTACATCGAAGGCTGCTCGCCCGGCGGCTGCACCTACAACTTCGACATCTCGAGCAGCGATCCCAACCCAGACTTCGGCGGCGTCTTCAGCACGCACTGTACCGGGACCCGGTCCACGGAAAGCCCATCCACGAACTGCACCGATAATACGCAGTTGTCCTCGAGTTCGGTGGTGCAGGAGGGGGTTGGAGCTGTGCTGTTTGTGGAGAGGCTGTTTCCGCTGGGGGACGAGACGGATGTCGCGGGTGGGAATGTTACGACGGCTGGTCCGGGGGAGCCGGCGGCTGAGACGTTTTTGTTGAGGGCGAGGGTTTTTGGACAGCTTGCTGGACAGTAGGGTAGGGGATGTTCGCTGGATATCGGAGTTTGAGTTAGGGAAAACGCGGGGAAAGGTTATGGAATGGAGGTATTGGCGTTATACTTGCTTGAGCTGTCTTTAAATTAGCAATGCAAATGTTGCAATTGATATCTTTGAAACTCGTACCCCAATCTACTTTCCATAGGGTCCTACGAACCGACTCTTGTCATAGCGATTTGCATATCCATTCATGGCAATTGAGAGCCGAAAGTCGCAAGACCAATAGGAAACAGGAACGTAGAGTGAGACATTGGTGGATGGCCAAAAAGACCTTCGATGGAAAAGCACAATTGCTCATCGAATATATGGCGGAGTCATAAACGTCAATTTTGTAACCGCAAAACCCCACCACAGCCAATCTAATGCGTCCTCGTTCCGCCATCATACCCTCGGAAGTCCTTTCCTAGAAGTTCATACATGTTATAGTGCACACCTCGCTGAGATTTATGAAGCTGGTCCCAATTGGCCCCAAGTCGGTAACGCCCGAGTGACGGTCCATTTCCTATCATATCACTGTGGTTTGACAGCTCCTTGATTCGGCCTTCAAGCACATCACTGTTGATCGTAGTTGCCGCTACAGCACCGTCACCTATTCTTTCCTCTCCGGTAAAGCTAGAACCCAAGCCCGACCAGAATAAGAATTGCCACGGCTACACCAATGCCAATTAGCGTCCGTACCGGCTGAAAGCGGCTTGGGGCCGGAGCTTGCAATTGTAGACGATAGGGCGGTCATGCTGTTCAACGGGAGAGAGCTCCCCGAAGAGGACGAAGGGATTGTGGAAGCCGAAGATGAAGCCGAAGATGTTAAGGATGATGTCGGAGAAGAAGCTGGCGATGAGTTTAACGTGGATGGGATTCTTGCTGAAGACTAGCTGTTTTCGATTAGATTGTAATCTTAGCTGACAAGTGACGTAGACTAATTTACCTACCTTCCTAGGTATGCTATATAAGGGAAGCTAGGAAGGCACTAATGCATAGCCAAATTAGGCTGCTTTACCTGTAACACTTTTTCTAAAATAAGAATTTAAGACGACTTTTAGGCACCCAAAAGCGTTAGCATAGCTCTAAGAAGCTACCTATAATCTATTTTAGATGGAGAATAGGGCCTGCATTAGTCTACTTTGAACCTACTACAGCCGCTGAAAGCACCTAAAAATCGCAGCTGAAGTTATCTATTAAATATGCTTAAATCATTCAAGGAATACTACGGCTCGGCACTACTGTCACCTCCGAATCACTTCCTGGCTCCCGCTTCTAGCATACCAGCTTGGCGCTAAGGTCGAAGGAATTATACCCTACTAGGCTCCCTACAGATACGACAGGGATGTTGCAGATACGACGAAGCTGCGCCATCGCGAAAATGTCAGCTGACATAAATATTAATATTTCGTACTTGGACGGCCGTCGTCTGAAAGCCCGAATTTCTATCTGTGGCTGCTTGTATATAACCCTCCTTTGTGTTAACTGTTCTTCCTAGTCTTTATTTATATATAACATGATGAATGACATTGTCTTCAACCCATCGTACTCCCAAAGGCTTCGAGCTAACAGAATGGTCCGGATAATCGTCGGGTTCTTGGGCTTGAGTGTTATCGCGGTGTCTTTGAGAATATCGTATTATTCCCAGCATCTAGTCATGTCCACGGAAGAAGGGAAAGGGTCCCCTTCCAAGACATTGGTCGTTGCGACTGTCGAGAAAGATGATATTTCCTGGCTACACAAACATCTTCCCGAATGGGACGTCTCGCGATATGTGGTGGATGATGCTTCGGCGAGTCTCACAGTGCCAAAAAATAAAGGCCAGGAAGCTATGACATACTTGACGTAGGTTTCTTCTCTTTGTTTACTATACATACTGTCGGCTGATGTCATGTCTTTAGATACATGATTGATTCTTACGACAACTTCCCGGATTTGATACTTTTTATGCACAATGGGAGATACCAGTGGCATAATGACGATCCGCTTTACGGTAAGTGGCACTAGGACTTCAGTGCTTTTTCTGCTCAACTGGTATTCTAACATATCTTCATAGATGCCGTACCCGTGCTTCAGAATTTGCAGCTGCCCTATCTGATCTCTCAACAATACACCAATCTCCGCTGTGTATGGACCCTAGGCTGCCCGGCTGAGCTGAACTTCGACAAAACCCCCGCAAACGTAGACGCCTCTAAAACAGCTGAGATAGCCTATCCCGAAGCTTTCCAGGAGCTATTCCCTGGACAGTCAGTTCCTCCAACTGTTGGTGTTGCCTGCTGCGCTCAATTCGTAGTGACACGGGAGAAAATCCGTGAACGGCCCGTTGAAGACTATAAACGCTACAGACAGTGGCTCTTGGACACGCCCCTTGATGATTATGTCAGTGGGCGAATACTAGAATATTCGTGGCACATAATATTCGGCAAGCCACCAGTTCATTGCCCCAATACGAAAGAATGTTACTGTAGAGTTTTCGGCCAGTGTGATTTGGAGTGCAAGGAGGGCGAATGTGGACAGCACTGGCCATTCCCGCCTTACTCGAGTTTGCCGGCTGGGTGGCCGACGGTGGGATGGGATGGAGAGGTGAGGAGCGAAGAGGTTCTTGCGGGCTTAAGGGAAAACGCAACGACAACTTCTCCAACAGCAGAAATCTGGTCTAAAGGCCCGGTGCTAACTTGACTTCTCATGGTGGAATAAGCTTCTATCAATTTCTCCAAAGAATGGAATGGTTAAACTCTGACAAGAGACTGGGAGTCATCCCGGGTTAAGTTCACCAACGCTTCTTACCAGAGGATGTGGGCCTCAGTTCAAGCCTTCAAGCCCCTTCAATAACGTCATCAAACTGGGAAGAAAGAAACTGGCAAGGAATAAAAGCCGAAGTGAGCCAGGATTTCTAACAGAACTACGATGAGGGGTAGAATGAAGATGTATTTTGAGTTATTGTTTTGGGAAAACTTGGAAATAACAAGTTTTAGCCGGTCTTTCACGACGCCCCGGAGGGACAAGAATATTGGAGCAGAAGATATGGAATTTTGGAAGCCCGGATTGAATTCCCACACACAAACTATAGAATTGAAAAGACAAACGAGTGAAGGTCTGGATTGGCGGCCGAATATGAAAGAGCCTGAGCACTAGAACCAAAGAACAATACAAATACCAATAAAACACCCATTCCGCACCCTCCAGACCTCGCAGTTTCATCGGGATGATGCGTACGTAGCACCTGCGATACCAGACTACAAACACCCATCACAGACATCCTAAACACAAATCAGCACATTCATCATCACACACTCCATCCAGCCATCTAGCGCACTTACCCCCGCAATATTCCCCGTAACAGAAGCAAAGCAAGCTATATCAGCAAGCGGATCTAAACCCCCCAACTATATCAGCAATCTCTCCTTTCTACTCACGTGTGTGTTCTGTTCTCAGAAAGAAAAAACCAGAAAGAAAGACTTACTAGCTCCCAATTCCGCAGCTGCAGCTCCGCAAGCTGCAGTTTCTCCAGCGAGAGCGGAGATGCATTCTAGACGAGCTAATATTAGACACGGTTGCTGTTTTGAGGGGTGAAGGGGCAGGGGGAGGAAGGGGTAAAGGGCGGGGCACGAACTCAGAACATTGCATCCGCTTGCCTTGAGCGTTGCTACGGAATTCGCAGCGCTGGCTTTTGTATCGGCGATTGCTCCTGCGGGAACAGGTGCTGGTGCTGGTGCGGCGGTTGAAAGCACCGCGAGGAGCGAGAAGATGGCGAGGGAGGAGAAATGCATGGTGTTTGGTTTTAAAGGGTTGTTTGGTATTTTTCTTGGGAAAGATGAAGGTTTGTTAGGTTTGAATGCTGGGTGCTGGATGATGGATGCTGGATGATGTGAGGAGAAGACAGGAAATTGCGTCTTCTTATATACATACCTATCATCTGCTATCAGAGCAACTCACATACGCTTCCAGAGATCGTCACCACGACTTGGAGAGGATCATGCCGCTCGTACACCACAACGACTACCATTATCCTCGCCAGGAAATTTCGTGTCCCGCTACCTACCTACATACCCCCAATCCCCGTAATAGCTGAACACACCAGTTTCTATTTCCACAGCTCGCTCGACATGTTCTGGCCACACAAACGGAAGGTAGTGTACGAGCAGACCCAGAGCATAGCATTAGCTGTCTCCGCTCCGCTCCTATCGCGTAACGGCATATCGTCAGAGGCAAGGCGATCAAGACTTGTCTCTCCCGTCCACCTAGATCCAAAAAGCTCTGTCTCCCCGCTTGTTTATCCAGCGCGTTTCAGTGGCTTTTCGGAGTCTGCCTCACATTGTACTATACGATGGAATCCTTCCGGTACGGGAAACCCTGATCCTGAGAATTTATTAGTGTCTACTCACGCGGGACCAGTACTATACTGCGATCAATGCTGCTTCAAGTACAGTCCTAGTGTGCCATTGCATATTCCTTTACTGAGGAAGGAAATAATAAACGGGAAGTAGTTTAACGGAATAGAACAGAACGGAACACACCCTTATTCCTTGTACCGTAGGATGATGGATCGATGCTCTTAGCGAGTCGGCAACGGCGTGCGGGGTTGGGCCGCTGAGGCTTGTACTGTACGTGTAGTACAGTATCGAGCCACAGTCGTCAGATACCGTTTTTAGCTGAAACGAAAATGAAAGGATGAGCAATGAAATGTAGTAGGTCGATTTGGGGCTGAATTAAGCTTATTTGCGCCTTCCGTTCTAGGTCAGATCGCTGGGGATCTCAAATGCTGGCACGGGATCGAAGTAAGATTCCTATATTAAAGACGGGTGGAATGTTGCACCGAGGATTTGGGAAGGGCTTGGCGATGATGTCGGAAGGATCAGGTAGATAATTTTGGCTCTTGTAGCTGGGAGCGAGCTTTGCCAAGCAAATAGATGTCGTTTGCCTTAGTTACGGAATGATTTAAAAGTGTTGTAGACACTTGACCGGTATGCGGTTTTGGGCATTAATAGATATCTCATCCCTCGAGACAACACAGGCTCTCCAAGACTCTCTTGTTCCTAATCGAGGTGTGCGCTTTGCCTACTCATTCTCTCATCGATGATCTTACTCGGGATTGTTTTTATACGGCTAAAGAACCAATCACCTTAGAAACTAGGAAGAATGACACCTTTGTCACTGCTAACATTTCGTAAGTGGTTTATGAAGAGTGGACTATAGGTGGAACATTTTCCCAGCTCCAAAACCTGCCATATCAAGCAGCTCTAACGTCGATATCTTGGCATAGTTTGGTTCGAGATTTCACCTACCTCAGAGACCCGAAGGGAGAGAAGGGGTCATCTTTCGCGGATATTTTTCTCTGCTAGGCTTTCTGAGTTCATGGAGGGTTGTTCTACCATCGATTTGACGCTTGTCTCTCGCACGAGGACGAAGGATGCTAAGGGTGGAGAATGGGTTGAGACATACTCTAAGCTGGAGGAAGTCTTCGAGGGTCTTAAGACGAGGGTAAGCGCAAGGAGGGACGTAGAAAAAGTGAATGTGACAAGTCAGAGTGTAGTATTGTATTTTGATAACGATGCAAACTTAGGTCGAGGGCGTCGGGCACAGATTTGCCCTCTCATATATGAAATTTGCTCATTATTCGAGATCAGCTCCCCATTTTCTAGGATAAATCAATCCTCCACGCTTTGTGAGAATTGGTGACTTGCATCAGCCGTTGAGGATCTGACTATGAAATAGCTTTTTATATCAGAAAAGTAGAGTTGTTGAGATAGAGTTCTAGTATTGACTTTGTGAAACATGATACATTCACAAGGTCGCCCGAGACCATTCTCCTCTCAGAAGTAGAAAAACAACAGGAGTAAAATAAAGGTTCGCCTTCAATGAATGTGAAAACTGCATCAACATGCTAGCAGTGAATCTTGAAGAGACCTATTAGCTGTGTCGGTCGTAGTTTGGGAAGGTCGTGCCTTACCGATCTTTCGCCTAGTAGGTAGTATATATAGACCCATCACATCCCATTGTCAAAACTTCATTCCATGTACAGCCACACACAACGCGCAAAAGCCCTTCTTCAACACCATGGCGATCACCAGTGATTCGACAACCCCCTCAGCAATGCCAACACAAATTGAAGAGCGGAGCTTTCACCCTTTTCCCAGACTCCCCATCGAGATCCGCCTGGCGATCTGGGAACTGCATGAAGGACGCGATATCCTCATTTGTCCAGATCCAGGCGAAGGTCATTGCTTCTATGCGCTTCCTCATCACCCGCCAGCTCTTCTCCACGTCAACCAAGAGACGCGCGAACTCGCTCTCAAAGCACACGAGCTGGTTGACCTGGCACCGCCCCCAATGTACAACCGCTTCCGCACATCCACTTCGAATGATTCAGACGCCATTGAAAAGCGCTCGATTCTAGTAGACTGGAAGAGAGATACTCTTTATGTTCCAGAGGGAAACGGCTTTGATGTAATTCCGGTCGAGTTGACGGTAGACTACTTCCAAGTATGAGTCGCAAATGTTCCATGTACAACCTTCACAGCTGTGCTGTGTCATTCCTCTGCTCAACACCATATCCATCATACGACAAGACTTTACGAGACATGTGGGAAGGTGGCGTACGACGAGGAGAAAAGGTACAAGTAGCTTCTACCTTGTCAAAGCTAGCGATGTTGTGGATTATGTACGCTATGTCCAAGACGATTTCTTGCGGACGGTTCTGTGGCCTCGACTGAAAGAGCACCACCAAACGGGAACGATGAAGGCGAAGGTCAGATTCTGTGACATTACCCGCGACCCTACCCGGAGAAATGAGAAAATGGAGGTTGGGGACGCATTGGAGGACATGGCAGATATAACAATGGGTGAGCGCATAGAGATAAAGAGGTCTTGAAGCATGGACGGTACTGCACATCATTCGCGCTTTCTCAGTTGGTATCATCCGATGGGTTAGCTAATCCACAACCTGCGATCCTCGGTCCGGGACATCTTTGATCCAGATCTCGCTGATAGTATGCATTTCAATTCCACAAACCCAACGAGACTCTCTAGTGATATTTCTGTTGTGATTGCCCTGATTCTGCTGGCAGGATAGTTCATCCGGTCCTCTTGTTTCTCTTTCTTTCTCGTAAACTTTCTTTTCCACTAGAGCATTCCAATTTCCTCCTACGTATATATCTTCGCGCTTTCGGATTCGTAATCTTCGGGATTAGGACTCGGTATTCGTTCCATTGGGCTTCGAGAGAGGCAACTGGCCGATGTGTTGTAGTATTCGTGGTCAAGGCATCTTCATGGCAATGCAGAGCTATAAGTAGGTAGGTATTCCAGCAATCACTTGGCCCCGTTGGATGTTCGACCTGGAAGGAGATTCTCGAGAAGGTGTATGTCGTCGTTCAAAGCCGCTTCCGCATTAGGCAAGTGGGGTTAAATGGCCCCAACCTCCTGAATTCAACCAAATGTTGCGCTTTTCAATTAGTATATCGTTTCAAGCCTGCAGACTAAGCTCTATATCCTCTCAAAATGCGTACTCCGTACAAGTGAAAGGGTTTTCTCGTTTCTCTAGTTATGTTTCCTAACCTGTGTTGAGTTGTGTTACCATGCTTGCTATCTTCTACTACAGAACTTCACATTACTTTGCACTCATTCGTTGTTGTTTTTTGAAGCCGTATTATATGTTATATTATGTATTGTGCACCAAATACTGTTGAGTATAAGAGTTCTTCGTCCTTTAAGCTTCTTCTACATATGTCCGGCATGTCTTACAAGCGTATACCTTGGAGCTTTCATCATCGGCGTTGAGGTAGCATCGAGGACACATTTGTATTCCATTGCCAACCTGCACAAGCCAATACCCCACCACGCCCGAGCACAACACAATTTGTTGGTACCCCCTCCTTCGATGGTAGTGGCAGAGCCAGTCGTTCTTCAATTTGTCCAAGCACACGCAAGTCGCTAGACGGGTTTTTTGTCGTGAAGTCAGCTCGCCTGCACAGCCAGCGCAGACGAATGCTTTCATAGCCGCTTTTGCTTCTACTTCCAACTCCTTGGCTTCCTGGCGCTGGTCGTGATGACAGCATTCGCAGGTATTGTAAAGTTCTCCAGACATGTGGTTTTCTGGTGCTTGCCAGTCCAATTCATACGCAGCGGTATGCTGGAACTGACATCGCCTCGTGCGCTTCCGGCCGCACGTTGTCTTCTCATTGCTGTTGGGCGGAAAGACATGGCTCGGCTCGCTGCAATCTTTTTCCTCCAAGTAATCAATAATTGGGTGGAGTGAAGTGTCGGGATATCCGCTTAGCACATCGATATGTTTCAGGGTCTTGAAACTTCCTGGAATTTCCCAGCTTGCCCCGTAAGCTCCCACTATCCCAGGCAACAATTGATCCTTGTGGGGCGGTACATCAGGGTTTTCTGGGGGAAATTCTGGCAGAGCTGGGTAGTTGAACACAGGGTCCAGTGAAATATCCATCATTTCATCTGGAGAATCTGGTGGAGTTGGGTAGTTCGCCACAGAATCCAGTGCAGATATATCCATCATTTCGTCTAGAGATTCTAGCAGAGGTGGGTAGTTAGTCGCAGAATTTGGTGCTAACGTGTCCATCATTTCGTTAGGATCAAAGTCAGGATCAAAGACGAAGTCGTATGGGGCCTCAACGTCGAAATCGCCAAACATATTATACGGGATCTCCGAAACCGCCGGATGATCCGTTTGTCCCCATGTACTTGCTGAATTTCCTAGCTCCTGGTGAGGCTCTGGTGGTGATACCCCGAATTTTCCATTGTCCGGGATAGGATCATTGAAAAAATCTGGAATCAAACCTTCGTCCAGGAACAGTGCGTCTTGGAATGGGTCCGGGGGAGGTGCCGCATCCGAGTATGCAGAGATCGAGTTGACTTCAGGCCATGGACTGGCCTGAGGCACGCTCCGTAATTTAGGATCAGCGCGGTCATAATAAGCCATAGTATCATTTAGGTCTGTTAGGTAGTGTATCCATGCATCATCCGAGTCGTGTGCCAAAGATTTATCAGGTGTAGCAGTAGGAGGTGCCGAAGTGTTGCATACATTTCCTGGCATCGGTTGGGCGAAATCAAACTCTTCCATTTCCGTGTTTCTGTAGTCTGGGTCCTGTACCGCTGGATGACACTTCTCCCCCCAAGACGGACTTGCTAGGCAGTTACGACAAGGCCTTCCCATATCACATGTGAGGCCGAGATTGACACAATTACGGCATTTATCTTCTATTTCCCGGACTGGGCTGGCAGATCTTCCTCTGGAAGCCTGTTCCTGCCCAGAACCATTTTCATGGTTGATCAGCATGATCTTTCCGTGCGCATCATAGTCCCTTCCTTCTTTGGGATTGCGTCGTCTTGCCGTTTGCTTCCAGATGTTTTGCTTTGGAATGTTAAGCCGACCAGGGCTTTTGGATCTTTTAGCCAATCCCGAATTTCCTGTTGATGCATGGTTATCGTTGCCCATTTCGTCAAGGCGATCGGATATATACCGAGGATCGGGCACACCGTAGTTTGCTTCTATGCATTCGCAGTCTTTCTTTATGCAAGACTCGCAAGGCTTTACGCCAGTTTCTAGATAAGTACAGGACCCTCCAGACTTCTTGCATCCCCAACATTTATACCTCTTCTGCACCTGCTTTCCTGTTACCGTGCATCGGTACGTCAATCGCTGTGGAATCTCAGTCGGATATAGATCATCCCCGCTATCTTCTGGCTCTGGTGTTGGTTGTCTTTCCCTACCAGTACTTGCCTGCCACTCTCTTACTTTGGCAAGTATTTGTGCCATTATTGGCTCATTGTGCGCGTGTCTTGCTTTTTTCTGAGCAAGCCATCGTGCAGCATACGCCGCACTGTACAGGTCGTCGGTAGGATCTATCATTCTCTTATGTTCTTTTTGTAACCGCGCCTTGATGGCTTGTCGGGCCTTTGCATACGAACTCTCCGTTGGGTACCTGTTTGGGTCTAGTTCAGCAATAAACTTAGGTTTGTATTGATAACCGAGAATTTTAAAAGCATTCTCAAGACGAACGTTATACATGGCTGATGTCTCTCCACGGGTTTGACCATAGAGCCCTAGTCTGATTCTTGGGTCTTGGCAGTCCACGGGAACCAGTTCTTCCAGTATAGTCTGCTGAGTGAGAAATGTTTCTTGGGGTACCTCAAAAGGTGACATGAACGTTGGCTGTTGAGGTCCCTGTGGAACTGGCTGTTGGATCGGTTGCGGTGGTGTCTGTTGTTGATGTTCTAAATTAAGCTGGTCTTGTTCCTGTCGCTCCTGGCGCAAACGGTGGAATGCCAGTGCCTTTTCTAGTTCAGCAGCGGCGCGATCGTCGTCGTTCAAAAATTTGGTTGGCATTGCTAGATCCTGCAAGCAATGGTGATGGAGATTGGCTGTAAAATGTGAAATGTGAGAAGAAATTGCAAGGAAATTGCAATATTGATGAAATGCAATAGGAAGGATGCGTCTGAATTATAACTTGCAATACAATAAGCTCTTTATTGAACATAATAATATTGTTTGCATAATGCGTGTAAACAAGACATGTTTTTCGCCTGGTTTTTATGCTAGTTCCAAGTTAATGTGAATTCTGCCTTGAGAGGCACCGAACGCTATTTTAGCCATGTGAATGCAGATTGAGATGTTTTGATACTAACTGAAATTTAACATTGCTATTTAAATACCATTTAAGTGCCTTGAGGTGCTACCCGTAGGCCAGGTGAACAACCCACAGCACTCAAAATCGGCAACCTGTTAGGCCGCAACATCACTTTGAACATGGCTATTGTCTGGAACAGTTAGAGATTCAGACAATGAGAATGACAATAACCTAGGAAAAACAGCTTATTGACACATTGATAAACACAAATTTACAAGGAAACTCCGCTCTAACAAAGCCACTAAAGATTTTGCTGTTCCAAAATTGCAAGTAAAGGGGGCGGACACGTCGCAGCGACCCCCTGGATGCGAATATTCGTTGCTAAGTAGTTGCTGGGTAGATTTTACCATACAAAATAGTAGTTTTTGAGTATTCACGGACCAGAAATCCATAAAAGTTCACCTTCTACACTTGTAATGGGTTTGTCCGATGTGTCCGCCTTATAAAAACTAATGTTTATAAGTATAAAAGTATTCTTCAACAAATAATTTTCCAACACCATAAAAGTGACCAATATAAACAACAAAGCACAAATGCAACGTCTGGACATAACAAGAAAGAGTGAAAACAACTTGCCGAGGGCAAATAAATAGGAAGAGAGGAGAGGAGTGCTATACGCACGCTAAAACATTAGCGAGCATTTAACGCCCACCCCCTGAAACAGTGGGTCTTTCCGCCGGCGCGTCCCGCTCCACCAACTCCACAACAGCGCCAACCCATCCATACAACTTCCAGTGCTGCAAAATAACTTGCTGAATATATCTAAATACAGACCTCCCGCATACAGTATTGCATATGGATATATCAAAGACGTATCGAATGAATGCAAATCCAGCTGCGTGTGTACCTTTATAGTGCGACATACGGAAACAAAAACGAATGATCTTGCGACCGCACATGCGACCGGAAACCAACATTTTCTGCTGATCGCTTATAGGACAATGTAGCCTTAAAACGTGCAATGAAAGCTAGGGTAGAACCCCCCCCCGGACGGCTCAGCCTTGATTTAGGCAGGGCAGGCGAGTGCAAGTGAGGCTGTGACTTCTCTTTAATTTTCTTCTTCTCTCGACTTCGCATTTCCTACCGTTTTTGTTACTCTTCTTTGCTCTTCCATATCCATATCGATCCGTACTTTTCTTTCCGGTTTTATCTTTACATCTAAGAATATATATGAATCAAAATCATGTTTTGTTGTTTATATTAGCATCCAGAGTTTTCGCGCATCGGAGATGGCGATAGTCTCAAGTCCTAGAGAAGAGAGGCCCAAGGCTGTAAAGGTTAGCAATTCTATTCCTTCCAGTTCGCCTGGAAACTAATAAGGACGGAAAGAAGAGTAAAAGGCTATCATTCAAAAAGTTTGCTTCCAGAACGTGGGCCAGATCAATCACCAGGTCCTCAACAACAGCGACGTTAGTCGAGCTCCCTTCTCTGCCTAGCCATGCAAATTCCCAAGGTATCGAGACTCAGACATCAACCGATCATGTCCATTCTGTCTTAATGCCAGAGTCAAGCTCGCCCGGTCCACCGCCCAGACAGCCCTATAAATCAGGCCTCTTCCCTCTATACCCACCTCTCTTAGAAGGGAATTGCCCTGTAGACATCATCGCCTTGCACGGCATAAACGGGGATGCCTACACCACCTTCACAGCACCTTCGTCCAAAAACCTCTGGTTGCGGGATTTCCTCCCCCGCTCGTTTCCCGGTGCCCGCATCTACACATTTGGCTATGACGCGCGTGTGCTTTTTAGTCTATCAACTGGCGATATAAGTACTTTTGCAAACAGCTTGTTAGAAGATGTTTGGGGTGTGAGGATAGGGAGGTGTGAAAAGCGGAGGCCGATCATTTGGATCGCGCATAGTATGGGGGGACTGGTTGTTAAGAAGGTTCGTGCTCTCTCATTGCCAGGCCGAGAAAAGGAGAAGGAGACTGATACTGGGGGAAAAGGCACTCACAATAGCATACAACGACCCCGCCCGCTACGGCGACATCCACTCTTCCACAACCTCAATCCTCTTTATGGCAACTCCGCACCGGGGCTCTGATCACGCTGCTCTGCTTGGCGGTATAGCTGAAGTTGCGAATTTGCCGTTAGCGGGGACGTTGACGAGTCGATTTGCGGGGAAGGTCCGGGATGATCTGATAAAGGATTTGGAGAAGGATAACCCAGCGGTTAAGAAAATCGCCGAGGGGTTTGGAGCCTTGAATAGCGGCAAAGATGTAACCTTGTATTCATTTGTGGAAATGAAAAGAACGAAGCCTTTAAGTAGGAGGGTCAGCTTCTACTTTTGTTCTCTGTTTCTGGAAATAGGTGTATGGCTGATTCGTTGAAAATAGGTCGTAGATGAGGAGACGGGGACCATGGGTGTCGGTGGAGAGAGGGTGATCTATATGGATGGAGAGGATCACAAGAGTATTGTGAGGTTCGAGTCGGAAGAAAGTCCCAGTTATCGAAAGGTGTTGGTGGTTCTGAGGGAGGCTGTTAGTGACGCTGTTACTCGTTAGTTGCCTTTTCTGACTTACTTTCCAATTTTCCTCCCTTTTGAAGGCACCAACTCACGCGAAATTCAGCCTACCTCACAAAAGCTGCCCTCGAGGACGAACGTAAGAGCCCTCCTCATTTTGTCTACCAATCAACTAATCTGACTAGCTTGTCTCGGAACCCTCTTCTTCCGAACAATGACCCAGCGCAGAGCATCCGCCTCCGCAGCTCACCCCAAAACTTGCACATGGATCCTGGGCCATCCAGTTTTCAAAACTTGGCACAGCTCATCTCGTGGTCTGCTTTGGATAAAAGGCCATCCTGGAACAGGGAAGTCCACATTAATGGCTTTTCTCCACGCCTCCCTGCTTTCCAACCAAATATCAAAATCCATATTCCTAGACTTCTTCTTCTTCAATAGAGGAGAAGCCCTGCAGAAGTCACCACTGGGTATGTATAGAACCTTGCTGCATCAACTTTATCGGAAGAGTGGTATTGCGAGGAATATGATTCTTGAAGTCTATGAAGAGAAGCAGAAGGCCTTTGGAGAGGAGTGGATATGGCAGGTCTCTGACTTGAAAGCTTTGGCGAAGAATGTTGTGACGGAGGTGGCGAGAAAAAAAGAGGTTATGATCTTTGTGGATGCATTGGATGAAGCCGTTGATGAAGCCGGAGAAAAAGCAGCGCCATCGCTGCTAGAGTTTTTCCATGATTTGAATGGGTGTGCTGCTGCAGACGAAGGATGTTTGGGTGGTGTAAAGATTTGTGTGTCGTGTCGGCCGTATCCGGTGTTGGGATCAAATGTGGATGAGATTTTTGTCGAACACCATAACAAGGATGATATGGAGCGGTATGTTCGAGAAAAGCTTAGTACTGGTATACTGGGCTGGGAGAAGGAGCCGCAGAATGTGCATCGGAATTTGGTGGATGTCATTGTGGAAACATCGCGGGGTGTTTTTCTCTGGACGAGTCTGCAGGTGCCGAAGGTTATCAGGAGACTGAACGATGGAGAGGTGTCATTTGAGCAAATAAACCCCGTAATAGCTGCCGAATCGAGCGAGCTATATGACCTCTACCAGAACATCCTTCAGAATGATGTCCCTGTACATCTCCGAAAGAAGTCTTTGCATTTATTGCAATGGATATGCCTTGCTCGTAGAGCTCTGTCTCTGACCGAGCTACGTTTCGCATTGGCTTGCGACGATGAAGATGGCTCTGCCCTGCCAAGTTGTTGCGAAGAAAGGTCGACTTTTATCGATTCAGATTCAAGTATGGAAAAGCTGGCTAGAAGTCTGTCTGGCGGCTTGGCTGAAGTGAGGTACTATTCAAACGCCATCAACGTCCAATTCATACATCAGACTGTGAACGACTTCGTCCGCGACCGTGGATTTGAATTCTTGGCCTCGATGACCGATGCTGAATATTATTCGCCTATTTCGAATATGATAGCCAGAGGTGAGAATAGACTTTCAAGGTCCTGCATCAACTATTTCAAGATGGAACAAGTGTCAAAGGCGACTATGCAGTGGAAGGAGCTGAAATATCGGGAGGGAAAACCCCCCTTTCTCGAATATGCCTACAGATTTTGGCTTGGGCATGCTGGGCGTGCTGAGAGAGGGGGGGTATCACAAGAGAATCTTGTTGAGCAGTTTGGATCTTCATCAGCAGCATACGAAGCTTGGTTAGAGGCATGCAAAGAACATTTTCAGAGAGATTCGATATCTCCAACTTCTGGGACGACTCTTTTGCATATTGCAAGCGGATGGAACTTGCAAAGTGTAGTGCAAAAGCTGATGCATGATAAAATACTTGTTGATCAAAAAGATTCAAATAGCAACACACCGCTTCACTGGGCAGCTCTGGGAGGGCACGAACAGATGGTCACTCTACTTCTAGATCTTGGTGCGGATATCAATACGAGAAACAATGAGTACTCTACTTGTGGGTCCACGCCACTGATGGTTGCGGCTAGAAATGGCCACGAGAGGCTAGTAAGACTACTGCTAAATAAGGGATCGGATGTGAATGGCACGAATAAGACCGAAGGAGGTGCTTTAGAAGAGGCAGTTTCTACAGGGAGTTTACCCTTGGTGAAACTACTGATTGAAAGCGGAGGCGACGTTAATAGCTGCAACAAAAGAGGGATGAATCCTCTTTACGAAGCAGCAGTGGGTCGCTATGAAGCGATAGCGAGGCTTCTGATCAGAGAAGGTGCAGATGTCAACATCCAAGGCGGAATGTTTGGTAACCCTTTACAAGCAGCAACTGTTGCAACTTGCGAGCCTATAATCCGACTATTGCTGGATAGTGGAGCAAACGTAAATGCGCAAGGGGGTGATTGGGGCAATGCTCTACAGGCAGCTTGCTTATCCAACGAGAATATTGACATCGCCAAGCTTCTCTTGCTAAGGGGAGCGGATATCAATGCCGCTGGGGGGGAGTGTGGCTCGGCACTTGAAGCAGCTTGCAGTTCTTGTTCCGAGGGCAGCGAGGGCTTGGTACGGATGCTGCTAAATCAAAATGCGAATGTAAATTTGCCAGGTGGTTGGTTAGGAAGTCCTCTCATAGCGGCAGCGGAAGCAGGCAGCGAAGTGATCGTTGCAATACTACTTGAAAATGGAGCACGTGTTGAAGTACGGGGCGGAAAGTACGACAATGTACTCCAGGCAGCAACAGTATCGGGTAACAGAAATCTCGTGGAGTTGTTTTTGGCCAAAGGAGTAGACGTGAATATCGCAGGCGGAACATACGGTACTGCCCTACAAGCAGCAATGAGACACGCTCCATCACTCGCCGATATTCTACTAGCTAGAGGAGCAGATGTCACAATCCTAGGCGGGCAATACGGAAATGCATTGCACGCCGCAGTGTTCTACAATAGGGAACAACAGGTTCGAGTGCTACTAGAGAGAGGGGCGGGATCCAATATCAATACAAATCTTTCGGACCGTCCTGAAATATACTGGTACCACCCCTACACTCTTCAGGAGGCCGCACATGTAGGAAATGTAAGAATTGTGGCGGCTTTGTTGGATTACGGAGCTGAGATCAACATAAATCATCACGTTCGGGGTACTGCCCTCACTATAGCCGCTGCAAAGGGCCATCGAGATGTGTTTGAGCTCCTTTTGGATCGAGGAGCTAATATAAAATTGCGTGGAGGCCACCAGACTGGGTCAATATCCGATGCTGCCAAAAAGCACAAAGAGATCAACCAGGTCATGCTGGAACGGTGCATATGGGACGGCGACTTCCTAAGTGGACCAAGAGAAAATTATTAGACTGGCTAATAAGTCAGTCAGTCAGTCATCAGTGGAGGGAAACGAGCAGCTGACTGACTGATGTTCTAGGAGGCAAGTGACTGACTGAATGACTATAATCGATCAGTAGCTGATCTGAAGTGGATCTGATTGAAGATATACTATTCTGTAGTCTATATATGCAGACCTCTATATTCCCTTACTATATGGATTGCTCCCTTGTCTCTATTGATTTTAAGGCATTCCTAATACTATACCATATCTAGATTCTATTCCTAATATTATTAAATATATATGAAATATATTAAATAAAAATAAGTAGTAACAGAGTATAGAAGTCAGGTTGTGTCAGACTAAATACCTAGGCTTCGCATGTATAGAGAGTAGAGAGAGCAGAGCTAAGGTAAGGTGGGCCCACTCGAGCGAAGGGCTAATAGACCCTGCAATTATATAAAAGCCTTAGATCTTAGGCCCTATAAGACTAAATTTTGCTAAACCACCCCCTTAAAACCTCTAAAAATTGCCATACACGCACACTATATTAACAATTTTATAACCTCTCAACTGACTAGTTAAGGGGTGACTGACTGACTTGTTTGTTTTACGGTCCTAACTAGCTAAGTGATGTTAAAACCCTCAACTGATAGAGTGACTTAATAGCGACTGACTTAATGGCCAGTCTGAAATTGTTGAGCCATTGGAGCGATCAAACGACTGTATGGATATTTATGATGGTGGGATACGATAACTAGCATCTGAAAGAGGAGACTTTGAGTCACCAGTTTGCAACCTACAGCTGGGTTCCCTTGATCCAGTAAAAGAGATAAGGTATCTATGGAGGCGACTTTTCCATATAGTCACATGACCAATATGTCTGTATGAGCTCTTCATAATTACTAACATAGGTGACCATGGTCTGACGTTAAATAGGCTTCAGCTTAATCGTATTTGGAGATTTTCATCTACTTCATGGTAGAAATTAATACCTGTTGCGGTATCTGATGACATACATCGCTGCACTCGGGCTGTGCTCGTGTAGGTACCTGTCGATTGAGAGTGGTTGCGTTGCCTGGACGGATGTTGGAGGCGATATGTCCGCTTGACTGACGACTCAGTGTGAGACGCAATGGGTATCGTGGTCTCGGTGTCGATATGCCGGCCATGAACTGTACGTGGAAGGTGTTGTGGCGCACTGAATATTGCTACGCCATGTCTTGGAGAAGCTGAATGCCTGGTATATTTGTTGCTGCGGCTTTGTCTCAATTCAGCATCAGCAGCTATAAGCTACTACTATTCCATCTCGCTTTGCTCTGATCGCTCTTTGATTCTGAGAACTTGTGAGCCTTCGAAATTGTGTTCTTTCGCATCCGCATCAAGTCTTTCCGCGGCGAATACGTTTTTCCTGCTTAGTTGCTGCTTTGCTTGGTACTGCGCTCGGTCCCGTAAACGCAAGTTCACGAAGTCTTTGGTGAGCTTCTTTTGTTCCAAAAATATCCTGTCGCGCATCGGTAGCTCTGAACTAAGGCCATCAAAGCCTATCAGCGCCTTTCGTGCGTAGCAAAGTTGTGGCTCAGCAGGCAAGCGATCGCCATCTCAGGTCAGCATTGGGCTGTGGGACCCCTGGAGTTCTCTGCTCTGTCGCCGCAGACTTCGCGCGTGTGGTGGAGTAAGGTGGAGGTGATGGTGGTGGTGCATTTGCCGTGTGTGGTTTTAGAGTGAGACGCCCCTGAAGCCGTCGTTCTGTTTTGCCCCAGTCGACTCGCTTCATCACCATTAGCGTGGAACGAACCTTGTAGGGGAGCCTGTTGATCAATCTGGGTACAGTACGGTACCCACCCACCAATCTCCTCCACACGACTGACACGACCTCCAGTTCAGCCCATCCCTTCCTTCTCTTTTCTTCATAATAGTATCCTCTGCCAATAAACACCAAACAATCAATACTTCACATCACCAGGAATATCTTCCCCAGCTGGAGATACCGCAAGACACAACTCGACTCGACTCCCACACCCTTCGCGATACCATTGAATTGGAGAGCAGCGTCGCCGAGGACATACTGCGCAATTTAGGGGCAACCTTGCCAAGATGAGTGTAAGTGTTTTGTTTCAACTGTCGCCTCCAATTTCCACGTTTTGAATACAATTCGTGCTTCTGTCACTGTTACATCTCATTCAATCTGTCTTATTCCACCCATCTTCAAGAACAAGAACTCAATTGTAAAGTAATTTTCCGAGGCACACCTTTACTGACTATCATGGCGCAGTACGGGTTAGTCTTTCTCCTCTGCCTTCGACAATACCACCTCGACGCTCGACTCCGAATTGGGTCTCGAACCGTGATGCTAACATAATGGGCGAATAGATACGGAGGGCGTGCAAACCCTTTTGATCAACGAAATGCCGCCCCACAACAAGGAGGATACGCAGCGCAGCCTTACGGACAGCAGCCTCAATACGCAGACCGACAATATGCCACCCAAACTATGGGCCGTGACGATTACACTGGTAAGATCTTTGAGATGTCGAATTCATATTTCATTAACCCTGCGACCAGGTAGCAATCTTGAAATGGAACCTTTGACAGGAACAAGCGATAAGTTCCCAAATCAAAGCCAATCTGCTCCCAAAAACCCCATATTCGAGGAAATCGGTGCAATTAAAAAAAAGATCCAAGACATGGACTCCGACTCCGGGGAATTATCTGCTTTCAAAACGCTGCAACAAAAATCCTTGAACAACCCTGATCCCTCGGCTTCGAACGAACAACTTGACAAAAAATCCAATAAAATCATGGCAGATTATCGTAATTTGGTAGAGAGGATCAGGCACCTGAAGTCAAACCCCCAAATCTACAAAAATCAAAACTACAATAAACCAATCTCCACCATTGATTCCCAGCTAAAGAACGCGATGAAAACCTTCGAGGATATGGACACTGAATTCGCAAACAAGCTCCGGGAACAAATGGCCCGCCAGTACCGCATTGTTCGTCCTGAAGCATCAGATGCAGAGGTTCGAGAGGCTGTCGGAAATCAAACAAATCAACAAGTGTTCTCTCAGACATTGATGCAGAGCAACAGACATGGCCAAGCCCAATCTGCTATGAGCGCAGTTCGAAGTCGTCACGAGGAAATCAAGAAAATTGAGGATCAAATGGTAGATCTGGGCAAATTGTTCACAGACTTGAACACCCTGGTCGAGCTACAAGAGGCGCCCGTCGCAAACATTGAGATGAAGGGCGAGGAAGTCGTAGAAAACATGGACAAGGGTAATGAGCAGATCGGCACAGCAATCAAGAGCGCAAGAAATGCACGAAAATGGAAGTGGTGGTGCTTAGGCATAGTCGGTATGTTACCTCAGACTTCCTTCCATCTTTTACATCTCAATACTAATGAGACTCACAGTCCTGATCATTGCTATCATTGTAATCGTCGTCCTCATCTACAAGTTCGTCATCCAGAACAACAACAACTCCTCCAAATCAACCAGTAAGCGATTTGTTCTCCCATCCCTCGAGCGCCGAGCCATCTCCGCCCCAACAGAAGAACGCTCCGAAATCCCAGGTCTAAAATGGACCCGCGAAAATACTCTCGCACCCGTAGAAGAACGCTGGGTAGTCGACAAACTGGAATGGTCGCCTCCAAGCAAAAAGGAGCGCAGATTCCAAGCGTAGAGGCCATTACAAGTACATGTGTCAGGCTCTGATCCGTACATGAATTTCTTGACTTTCCGCACGCAGGCGCATCACACGGCGTTCTTTCTTTACTTTGTCACTTTGTACCCGAAAATCTCCTGAATTGGAGAACGCACATCTTTCCCTAGCTGTAGAATACCACCTCGTTTTGATTTGTTGGTCGAATTGGTATGGAAGGATGGAGAGACGAAAATCGAAGGCGGGCTTGAGATATTGGAGTTGTCATTTCCTACTCCTTTTCTTGAGCTGAAAGGACATGAGGAGACTTAGAGATATAGGAACGTTTAATAGGATTTTCGTTTCTTGATGCCTTTTGACTTGACGTTTCAATCCGCAAAGTCCCTCTTTATTATGATTGAACTTAGCGATATACTAACAGCATGGGATTAACCAGAGGTTGGATGAATGGCGGGTTCCCCGCAGTCTTGTCTTACGAATCCATACCATGAGTTTCTTCCAACTCACCCATCGTTGTCCGTTAGCATAGTTGCTACATCTTCGTTTCCTCTTTCCGTAATGAAGCTTTCTCCCTCTACCTCCACCTGTCTTTACGCTCGCCCCCAAGAGTCTACGCCATGTTTTATCATTTGTTGATTGATCAATCCATGGTACTGTAGTAGTGATTCGGGAATTATATTCATGGTAGTAGTGCTAGTGGTGGATCCGAACGCGTTCTTTGCACGGTGTGTATATCTCTAGGTTAGAGAAAATTCCTGTTTAGTTGAGGGGGGGATTGCTACTGCTACTGCTATTGCTTCTTGATTAGAGGTAAAATGTCGAGTGGTGTATAGCTAGCTGGGCTATATGTTCTCACTTTCTATGGTCTGAAGACATGCCTTCATTCTTGAGGTGAGGGGAATGGAATGCTATGGTAATTTTTTGCTGTTTTTCCTCGGTTTGTGGTGGATGGTTGGATGGTTGGATGGATGGATGGAATGTTTTTAATCGCAAGGTAAGTTGTTTTCGTTATACTTCGGGTCAACTCACGCACGCATGTATGCCCCCTCGACCTAGGAATAATATTTGAATCTGTAAGAAAGTATACTTTTTAAAATCAAATTAACTTTTGCGATATAACCTAATCTCGGGGTTTTGCTTTTCTGTTCTATTCGGGGATGTATATGCACGTATTTTGTGTCTGATTTTCGAGTTCTTAATTACCCTGCATGTGGTATTCGTTCCCTTTGAACGCATCTCCTAGTGCTGTGTTGCTAAGCTTGCAATCAGAACACAGTCGTACCGTTTAGGGGTCTTCTTGGAAACTCCTTCTGCATCGGGTTCCGTTCAACGAGTCACAGAACCAATGTCGCCGTGTTCCGCAGATGTGATTATTGCCGCTTTGCATGCATTGATAACATACTCTCGATATTTTGGGGCCCTCAAATCCGGTCTCCGGTATACTCACTCTCGCCGTAATATAGATCTACCAGTAAGCAGCACATTGCCGCATTTATATTGCCTGTCAGAGAAGGGCAACTAATCCGCGAATCCGCTCCTTATTACTTAAGTCGTACTGAGGTGTACCTGGAGAATAAACTTCCCGCAATGGTGTTGAGGTAAGATCTACCAGTGCTTTCCAATTCCGGGTCCGTATCTCGTGGAACCCATCGACTGCACCACCTCACTTGCTATATAATAACAACTTCTCGCCCTTTTTGCTTCACTTCATCCATTCATTCCCTTTATCCATCCTCCAAGCAACCAATCATGCATTTCTCACGCTCCCTTCTCCCGCTCCTCACCGTGGCATCCACATCCGCAAGCGTCATCCCCACCAGACAACTCCCTGGTACTCCCAATCTCCCCTTCCCTCTACCCCCCAATTGCAACCCGATTGGTAAGTACTCTTCCTCTAAATCAATCTAAATATTTTCTAACCTCAAGCCAGCATGCCTTACGAGTGTCAGTTACCTTTTCCTTTCAGAGAGGGGAAGTGGACATGACTGACTGATATGCTGATAGTTTAATATTGCTGCTTGTGCCGCCTGTATCTCGCTCCCAGGAGGTCCAGCTCTACCAGCTACTCCTGCATTGCCAGCTGCTCCTGCGGTACCAGCTCCTATTGCACCTCCCGCGCCTCCCGCGCTACCAGCTCCACCAGCCCCTCCTGCATTCCCAGTACCTCCAGCACCTCCAGCTCCCCCAGCGCTACCAGCGATCCCAGCGATCCCCGTCCGTCGCAAGTGATCCTTTCCCGCGGGGTTCAAGGAACCAGGCTACGATACACTTTCATAGATCGTTTTAGAGGATCGATTCTGTTTCAACAAAAGTTACTAGGAGCAGGTTCAACAGCTTTTCAACATTCATTAAACAGCTTTACTTCTATGGTTAGGCTTTAAGCAGAGGACCGTTATTTATGTCTGAAGCTTCGCTTCTATTGCATACTCTATGTATCGATTTTCGGATTATATTATCCGTGTATTTATAATACTAGGACTATAATGTACCATATTATTTCTACTTGATTATCTTATGAAGAAATTACGTCGTGACGTCTATTTTGTAAATCTGCGAAGCAAGGGGAATAGGAGACATTAACAGCTGACTTACTTAGAAATGAAGAGATGTGTTCTACAAGCCATAATCTGTAGGTTAAAACTAATAGGTTCGATCTTAGAGGATAAATAGAGATTCCTCCATGATATTATCTGAAACTTGAGAATTGGTTCATAATACCGCTTGAGCTGTAGGCACACGTGACTTATTTTATTTTATTATCCATTTGCCAACTTGCCGAGATTGACGTTTCTCTTTAGCAAGGCGTAATTTCTATCCTAAGAAAGGACAGAACCTATGACCAGACTTACTTGTAGGATCTTTCAATGAATTTCGCATATCGCACGTGGCTTCTCAAAGCGGGTTAGGTAGATATAACCGGGAAGTGGTTTATTGCGGCGTAGCCAATATTGATCTTTAAAGTGAACAGAAAATCCCGCAATCAATTATCACAAGTATTTGCTGATTCTAACTTGGATTGAACCCGGCAATCAGAATAGGAGCTACAGGAACTTGTACTGTGAGTTATGTTCACTGTTTACTCCGTTTGTAGGTACCAGGTACTAGTAGACTTGAGGCAAATCGATTAGCCAGCCAATCGCCTCTGAGTCCTGCCTAAACCACCTGCAAGTATTTCATGACTACCAGCTGGCTGTGACTTAACATTCAAGTTGCATCTGCAATTTTCGAGAGCTCCTTCTCGAGGAACTATACAAAATCACTGGATATATAACAAGGCCCCTTTGCACCATATTCACCCCTCAACTTCAACTTTGAAGGCAAACTTGAAGTCTAAGGACTGCTTGCCGGGAATCCCATTCGCTTCGCCAAAGTCAATGTTTTTTGTTTTGGGAAAGGTGTGACTGACAATGGTCTTCCTAACACAGAAGAAAGATGGCAAGAGGAGAAATGGAGACGAGAGTAAGAAGCGGCCATCCAAGAAATGGTGGGCTAAATTTGTGAAGCACGACGAACCAGAACTACGAAGTTCAGCGGGTATTGAAACGTCAACCAACGGCACACAGAGGGAGACAGAGAGAAGGACAGCAACAAGTAGCAGTCTTGCGCCTCATCAACCAAACACACAACGGTACGAGCCAATAGCAAGCCCAGCACTCTCTCGGGCTTCATCACTCTCCGAAACAGACGCCGAATACCTCGCCATCCAAGCAAGAGGGCGCACGCAGCCCCCAATTCCAACCCCGGGCTATGATGCCGATGCCTTTGCTGGAGCATTTGAACCAGCTTACGAGAGACTCCCAGTCCAAAACAGAGGAGAACAGAGTAGTGGTCGCAGTCGTCAACGCAAAAGTCCAGCAGCCAGCCCAACTTTCTCACGAATTTCTTTGCTATCAGGAACAAACATCCGCTCCCGCTCTGCGCCTGGTACACTGCATCTAGCACCAGAGTGCGAACGCAATACCTTTGGTGCATCCTTTGAGCCTCCTCTTAATGGAGGCCGGTCAGTCTCCCATCAACGAACCGCCAGTCCTTCTCTCTCACGCGCCTCATCATTGTCTAATGAGGATACGCAATTTCTAGCCGCCCGTGCAAAAACCAGCACTCCACGATCACGGCCAGAGTTCAATCGTGATGCCTATGCCGGAGCATTTGAGCCGGAGCGCCAGAGACATAGACCGCAGACGAAGTATCCGATTCCGCCGTTGACGAAACAGCAATTAGATAAGCTAGCGGGAGCGTATGCGCCGCCTGCTCCACCACCGAGGAGGTTGGATAAGTTGGATTATCAATGAGGGGAGATGATTGTTTGTTGATGTAATCAGTGGACTTGAGTGTTTGTGTGAATGGAAGCTCTTGGTTCAATTGGATAATAATGAGGGGAGACGGATTGGAGCAATATGAGACATATAGCCATGGATATGAGTCTCAACGAAGGCTCAAGAGCTGTCTGAAGAGATGCAGAAAAATAACTAGGAAGTTGGGCCTGAGAATGTCTTATGAGAATAACGCAGGGACGAAATACGGATTCTAAGTTATGACAGGCAATTCAACAATTTACAAATAAGAAATGAAGCAGTTCTCAACGCCTAGTACTTGTGTACCAGAGATAGACTTTGCCCCTACCAGAAACCCAAACATTGTATCTCTCTTTTCGTTTTTACAGAAAATCTATACTAAGATACTACCTCCTTCTCTTAGCTAGCGTCGTGCATATATGTCATAGAAAGATGGTTATTGCGTGGAAGTTCAGGCAGCCATAAATATCTTGCTCCGGTGGGGATATGTAGATTTATCTTGAAGAAGTTGTATACACACTTTGGCTTAAAGCTAATACGTATTACTTCCAAGAACAGGCTTCTATCTATTCACACATTGTTTGCTATCATTTTGGCACTGTGAATCTTGAATGGTATATGCAAAGCCTAGGATTGATTTATCACAATACAACCTTTTGTCATCACGAACCTTCGACGAGAGTACACTCCACTCATCTTATTCGCTAATAGTGTTGGATGAACTCC